CTTCCTTCCTTCCTTCCTTCCTTCCTTCCTTCCTTCCTTCCTTCCTTCCTTCCTTCCTTCCTTCCTCTGAATGTTTTTCCAGGCACACTGGGGAGAAAGAGGGCCAATAGCAGTGGGGTTTTTGCTTCACTAGTGCACAGAGGGTGGGAAATAGCTGGAGGGAATTTAAAACTCCCCCTGTCCAAATCTGAAATCCCAATCTTGATTATGACTATCCCCCCACTATTAGTCTTAGGCCTATAGGAAAATGAGAGGTTTCTCAAGATGTAATAAATAAAAATTACACTTTGATCTCTTATCACATTACACTGTCTTCAAATAATCTTGGGGGGGAAAATAGGACGAGATTAGAATACCTTCCATGATAGATCTGGAAGACAGCACAAAACAGAATCTCCCAAATTTTGTTTAGGATGGAAAGGGATTAAGTTATTTCAAGGTGGTTTAAATTTGCATTAGACATAAGCCTGCAGTCTAGCATCCTGAAAAAAGATACGGTATTTGCCAGGAATGAGTAAAGGAAGTGATTAAAAACTGTAGAAATATTATCCAGGAAGGTCATGTGGTCTAAATGTGGTGGCTTTTCATAAAAATGGAAAGAATATCAAGATTTGAGCCAAACCCTTCAACTATCTAAACAAGCCAGTTTTGTTGGCTAGTGATACCGAGCATTTTGAATTGTATTCAGTCGGATGACATGTTAACTAGTAGCTTCATCACTTCTATCCCACATACATCCCAAATCAGTGTTTCTCAGCCTTGGCAGCTTGAAGATGTGTGGACTTCAACTCCCAGAATTCCTCAGCCAACATGCTAGCTGGGGATTTCTGGGAGTTGAAGTCCACCCATCTTCAAGCTGCCAAGGTTGAGAAACACTGCCCTAGATGATGGAAAAGATCTGGAAAAAAGTCTTAAAACAGCACCCTCTACTGATCCTGATTGCACAATAACTATAATCAATAATAGTGAATGATATCCTCCATATTCATAAAATCAACTTCCGTTTTAGCCACTCTTGTTCTTCATTTTGAGGGATGCAGGCAGACCTTGCTTAACGACTGCCCTTTTTAGTGACCATTCAAAGTTACGACGGTGCTGAAAAAGGAACGTTACAACCAGTCCTTGCATTTACAACTGTTGCAGCATCCCTGCAGTCACGTGATTGACATCTGCATGCTTCACAACCAACTTCCGACAACTAGAGTGAACACACCCAGCATTAAAAGTGTGAGTCGTGGTCACGTGATGTCTCGCTTAACAACTGCGGGTGATTCTCTTAACCAGCGCAGCAGAAGTGAGTCCACTGCAGTCATGAGATGTCTCACTTAATGACAGTGTTGCTTAGCAATGGAGTTGCCTGTCCCAATTGTGGTCGCTAAGTGAGGACTAACTGTAATAGACTTTCATGTCAGTTATTGTATCTTTCTTCCCTTTTTAAAAAAAATCAGCATTTCTTCAAATAAGGCCAATATTATAGTCCCATCTTGTGCCTGGAAAGGAAGAGATGAGAGGTGGTGTCTTACTTAAAGCTAGTTCACGTATCTTGGTTAGTGCAAGATCTGAACTGCATACTTCTTTGTTCTGTTACACTGCAAGCCATGGGCTTGTGTTACAGAAGTTGTTCAAAGGTTGTAATAGAGCTATTCCACATTTGCATGTGTCTTTTTATATGCACACACACACATTTATACATAAAGGGCTAAAGAAGCTGCATTTTCGGATTTAGCTATACAGATGTTTCCACTTCAGATCAGTGCAGCCAAATGCAATTCATTGCATAGTACTTTGACTCTGTCAAGTTCGATATATCTAGTATTTCTGATTTTCATTAGACTGCACACCTGGGATTTATTAAAACCCAGTCATGGAATGCCCCTTGTGTCCTTTGATAAAAGTTAACTAAACTGAACGTCAAACTAAAAGAAAACTCCCTGCAAGGTCCCTTTAGAAATTCTCAGAATAGAAGTATACACATTGGTGTGCCTTTTTATATACAGGAAAGGCACTCAGCACATAACTGGGAATTGTTTCAAGTGCTTAAGTCATTTTGGGAGATGGAGATTTCGGGTCTGCCAATAAACATGGCTTAATCCCAACAAATTTAAGAGGCTGACTCTGTGCCTTCCCATGAACTATGCTTTTAGTTGTTTAATCAAATGTCATCTAAGGTTGGATCCAGAGAAGCGTAAGAGGCAGAACTGTTTATAGTAACGTTGCTTCACAAACAGCTGGACAAATGCGAGTGGAAAACTTCCTATTTTTTGCATGAACCCTAAACCAGAATTCCTCAGTAGATGGCTTATTGTTCAGAAGCAACTATGCTGGTTCACAATATCAGGTCAATCTCACTTCTTCTAAGCGGAGAAGCCAAAAGCCCCGATTCTGACATAATTAAGCGTTTCCACCCTGAGAAATAAATGTCCAGTTAATTAGTCTGTTCCTGTTCTGCGATAATATACAAGGCCTTGTGAGGAAGGGTGCAACATGGCGTACATCTGCAGACCTTGGGCAAGAGATGATGCAAATTACTTTGTGCAAATCGAAGCACACCTCTGTATCACAATTCTTACTCTGGGCAAGAATGCGGAGTACCCAGGGAACGGACATTTCTGCTCATCAAATGGCACATTTCTTACTTTGAGTGGTTTTAAAATTATATTTATTAGCCTTTAGAAATCATTTGGGAAAAATATTTGGTCCTCCAAAAGAAGGGCATCTTAAACAAAACAAGATGTGAAAGGCTGGGCAGGCATATGAATTTTGATCTCAGGTAGCAAAACAGGCCTATTTCACAACTTAAAATACTGGCCTATTTCACAATTTAAAATTATGGACACAGTATTCCTGTCAGTGAAATGAGTGATTTAAGAATATTATTATAATAGATATGCATTACACAGTCACACCATGACTTTCCAGTTCCATCTCCAATTCAAGGAATCAGATAATAAGCGATAATGATAAGTTTCTCCCCATGTGACTTTCATGTC